CTACTGTGTTGTTGTCAATCAGGCCTGGCAGCCCTTTGCTTCGCAGACAGGCTTGGCTGCTGAAGGTGGCAGTCAACAGGCCAGGCAGCAAACGTCATGCTGATACTGTAAAAGTATAAGTGCCATGCGCATACAACGCGTGACACTGCGAACATCCCCTGCGCGCCATGAAGTTCAAGTTTGATGGGTCGGCCGGAAGTGTTATCTTGCGAAAGATGTTGCTGAAGCACTAGACCAGAGATGAGGTTGGCATACAATCTCCAAAGTGGTGAGGTCCCGCAGTTGCCTGCTTCGCAGTTGTCTGCCCGTCCAGCGGTGCAGAGCAACCAGCAGGCCAGACATGTTGATGAATTCGGTAATCTGTCGGCCTGTTCTGAGAATTCTGCGGCCGATGGAGAGTGTGCTTAAGTTAGCAACACTTCGAAAGACGTTGCTTGGGCAAGCCGGGCTAGCGATGAGGTGGGGTTTACTCTCCAAAGTGGCGAGGTCCCGCAGTTGCCTGGTTCGCAGATCTCTGCGGGCCCTGCGATGCAGAGCAGCCCGCAGGCCAGACACGCCGGCCAGCCAAAGATGCTAACGACATGATCTACGTGTTCTGCCAAAACTTGCATGCAAAATGTACCGTCTGCGGGACATATTAGCATGCTCATGCATGTGCATCACTGCAAGCTACTGACATATCATACATGTCAGCAGCATGTCTTGTCTCCGAGCTGCAGTTTTTTTCGGGCATCAGATATCGCAATTTAACAATGGCTATTATGGTGACCTGACATCAAGCTCAAGCTCGGTGGCTCCGTGCAGGTAGCTCCGAGCTCAGCGCAGCAGACTCCGCGAGAGCAGGCCCTGAGCAGGGATGTGTGCCTTCGAGTGTGAGCAGCAAGATTGCTGCATGTTTCCGCAGTGGCACCAAAGTCCTGGAAGTTTTTTTGCCATGACTTGAGAACTTCTTGTGGTGAGGGGTGGAACCCATGGGCAACAAATCTTGGCAGGAACCTCAGGCTTAGGCTTAGGCGACATAGTCAGGTGTGGGCTGTGCATATTGGAACGCAGCGAATGGGTGATTGTGGCAAGCGATCACATGTCCTCTGGCAAGCCAGGCTGTTTTTAAACGCTCTGACGTCATAAGAGCCTTTTGTGTTGTCATCATCGCCAAAGACTGTCGTGATGACTAGTCAATTATCTTCTTGCATATCTTCGCTCTCTCGCTCTCTCTCTCTCTCTCTCTCTGCCAATGCCTGCTGTACGTGCGCACATGCACGCGCAGATGTACAGCAGTCAGACGCGGTCAGACGGACAAACAGACAGAAATACTGACATTCTTCGACAGACGCAACACACACAAACACACACGCACACACATACACAGAGACGTGCAAATACGTACATACACACACACACACGTGATTCTCTCTCTCTCTGTCTCTTTCTCTCGCTCTCTCTCTCGCCCGCTCTCTCGCTCTCGCTCTCTCTCTGTCTATCTATCTATCTATCTATCTATCTATCTCTCTCTCTCTCTCTGTCTCTAGCTCTCTCTGTTTGCATTCATACAATACTTACTCTCTCTCTCTCTCTACGAATAGATTCCCCCATGTACACACACACATATACATACACATATATATACATATATATATGTACACATTATATACATGCACGACTAGTAAACAAAACCACATACATATGTATATTTGGGTACACACATCCACAGATAAATGTTATGTTATGTTATGTTATGTTTTGTTATTGTATGTATGTATGTATGTATGTAGGTAGGTAGGTAGGTAGGTAGGTAGGTAGGTATGTATGTATGTATGTACCATGCCGCAATGGTCAGCGAAGGGATTGATGCATGTATCTTTTTCACACAGATCATCCCATAACACATAGCAAGAGCACGAACAACGGTCCAATAGCTTAGTACATGGATACTGGATACGTGTAGAAAGGCCTTTTGCACGTCGATTGTATTCATATCTGTGTGTTTTCAGGCGTATGATTTACGTGCAGACAATTGCTTCTCCTCGGTTGTCTATTCGGGTGTCTTGGTGTGGCGGTAGCAAGAGTCTATTGTGGTGCGGGCCTTCTCTGCATGAACCTGAGGCGCGAACGAAGCGGCGCCGGTCTCTAAGAAAGAGACACTGGCTATGGCACAGCGGCAGATGCATCACCGACCTCTCGAAGGTTCTGGGGCAGCGTTTCAGGGAATGACATGCACAGGCGGCGTGCGCTGAAGTGCACTGCACCTTTGCCATCCTGGGTGTCGCTGCTTCCTGCGGCAGGCGGATCATCGGCGATATCGGAGCCTTTGATTCTGGCGACTTTAGGCTCCCGCATGCTGTTGTGATCGAGTTGTCTGATGTGGCACGTCGAGCAAGCTGATGCAGGTCCTCACCTGCAATGAACAGTCGGTGCGGCACTAGCACTCGCATTGACTTCTGCTACATGCCAACACCACGAAGGCCAAGCATGCCACCATCCCCAGCACAGTCTGGGCGTGCTTGGACCTCTGGCTGCGGCGTTCTGCAAGCAAACCACCAGGCCGGAGCAGGTTGCAAAGCGATGTTGGTAGCGTGTGGTGACCAGGGTTGACAGGAGATGCAAAGCTTGGAGGGCACAGCATTTTGGCAGCTTCCGTTCAGCCCTCAGAACCCTTGCCACAGTAGCTTGCACGCATCGTCTGTTGGCTGAAGGCCAACTGCTTCGAAGCGCACGCCTGAGCACACCTCCAGCTGTTTGCAGCTTTAAGCACCGTGCTTTGACTCGAGGTCTGGCGCTTTTCCGAGCGGACCCCTCCCTCAGTCTGGGACTAGGTTACAACAGGGTTGTCAGGGGTTCAGTCGGAGGGCAGAGGGCACTTCGTGACTTAGTTCCTGTTCTGAGGCTGCAGTCCCAGAATCAGGCGCCGTTGATTTGATGGTGCCTGTTGGGATGCCGAGTTAGGACCCGGTGGCCTATTGAAGATTATTTATGGGTTTAGATTGAATGACGACTGAGACATAGGCTGCAGGATGAACGGTGCAGCCTTGGCAGTGAAGGTTCGAAATACTCACGAGATGCTGACCGCACCCGCAAGCCAAGGTGGGCACAAGTTCTTTCGAACATGTCCAATGGTTTCTTGTAGAGGCTCTGTCGCAATCGGAAGCAGACCTTCTCTGCCTTCCAACGAATCTGCTGGACGGACATTGCTGAGCCCTGTCTGCTGTTACCTGCAGCTCCTCAAACACCTGCAGCATAATGCCTCCATTGTAGAAGAAGGGTTTCCAGAACACATGCGCTGGGCAGATTGCATGAGCCATTGCTTACATCCAAATGTTGCCGCTGTTCGGCGTGCTGAGAAATGCCAACATTGCACCGGCCTGAGCCCATGGAGCTAAGGACTTCTACCAGTGAAGGGCTCGAAGCCAGTGCCTTGATCCAGCAACTTCCTGCCCCGTTGACTTCAGAGTTCTTGCAGGTGACGTATGCCATCGCCAACCCGCCAGGCCATGCGTCCGATCCTCAGGCTGAGGCTCTTGGGGGCTTTTGCAGTGGCTTCGTGCAGTCCTGCCCTTCACGAGGCCTATTAGCACGCCGAACATGAGTCACCTTCCTTACTCTGCTGGCACCGGCCTGAGCTGACTTCAGCCGTCGTACGAACGAGCAAAAGCGACAGTATCATTGGACATGACTGGACAAACTCCATTTGCTGGGGTTTTCTGCCCGTGTTGTGCAGCACGGTGGTGGTTGCCTCGCCGACGATTGCCAGGCTCTGTTGGAAACAGCCAAAGGCCCTGGTCGTGCTTCACAGGGTTTAGTAGGGCATAGTTTCGGGGTCTGCCGCGTCACCGCTTCAATTCGCGCTGGGTGAAGAGCAAAATCTCATCGCAGTTTCCTCTTGGGATGCGCTGGGATGGCTCCGGTACCTGGGAAGCCCACGCCCCAAGCCATGGCTTTCGATTTGATCGGGACTGCCTTTTTGCAAGTCACTGCTCTCGTCGCAATCTTGGTTTTCGGGCTGACTGACATGCCGGCACTCGTTGCAGCGGATCCCAACTTTTCGCGACCGATGTCAAGGTCGACGAAATCGGCTGCCTCAGCGCAAACGGAATGTTACATTTAACGCAGGTCCGCCGGCTGCTTTGCCGCACCCTGGCCGGTGCCATGCACGGCTCCAGGCCATGCATCTACCAGTGCAGGATACCGCAAAGGATGCCGAAGCTGCTTCAGGTCAGCTCCGAGGCGCAGCTCCCGGGGGTGTGCATTTGCCAGGCTCTCGGAGGCTATCACATCATTTGCGTGGGTCCCGGTTCTTGCGACTGCCAGGCTGGACGTGACTGGCCTTTACCAGGATGGGATCGCTGCTTCATCTGCTTTATTGGGAAAGGAAAGAACTGCCTCGCTGAGGAGCCCAACCTTGCACAGCGAGAGCCTCAGACCTTCGATCTCATTGTCCTTTCGCAAGAGACAACGAAGCAACAGAACTCGGCCAAGCAAGAGAGCCAGTGACAGTGGTTTTGCAGGCCCGCTGCACTTCACGGGCGTGATGTGTCCTTCCAGCCAATGTTGCCAGGTTGCGCACTTCTCCTTAAGATTTGAATGTGCCAGGCTGGGCCCGATGCGGCCTGACGAGAGCTACCATTCCAGAGCTGCACGGAGCTCAACGCATGCCGGCTTTCATAAACGAGGGAACCCCCTCCCGGGCGCAGTATTTGGGATCCTGTAAGCGATGCCGACTAAGCAACCCATGCATTGAGGACCTGGCCAGCAGATGGGTGCATCAGCAGCAGATTGCAAAGAAAGCCGAGTAAAGACGGCAAGCAGGTACAAGGCAAACAGTGCGGCAGGTGGTGTGTGCGCATAACAGGAATAAAAGGTATTAGCCCTTATTGGCTCATTATAAGAATCAAAGGTTGTGTCTTTCAGTGACTAGGTACAAGTATCCAACAACATGGGAAATACATCCAGTAGTTATAACGTATACATCTCTCTGTATATCTATATCTATATCTATATCTATATATATATATATGTATAGCAATATAGTATATATCGCATGAATCATCACGAGGTTTGTGCTAGTGATTGCGCCTGTATGAGTAAGTGAGCGGGTGAGAGGCCGCAGGATCATTTCTTAAAAGTGGGGCGATACAGCGCCTTCCGTTCTGCCAACCGACCTTACTAAGTATTTGGATGCGTGCATTCATGCAGGCAGGCATTACATACACTCGACTTCGAGCGCTGCATTTTCAGGCTCGAATCGAAGACATGAATATACGATTGACAGGCCGCGCGGTGCACAAGCGCATACAACAAACACCCCTCAATAATTAACATCAGCAGTTCTGAGTCAGGCGTTGCTGGGTCTGGAGCACTTGTGTTTCATTTTGGTCGCAAGTCAGGCGCAGACCTGGATGAATGACCCCCGACTCGCACGGCAGCCGTCTCCTCAGATCGTGCACAGCCTCGACAGAAAACGTTGACAGTTGATTCGCAGTGTCGCAGAGGGAATTGACCCGGCGTTGAATGGGCCTGCTTCTGTCGTGGTTATCTCAGGGGTAGCCAGTCCCGAGAGCCTTTCGTATGTGCTTGATCGCTTTCGATATGTCTTCCCGCCGGCTCAGTTCCCGGTTTGGCAAAGGCTTCCCCCTTGGGCTTCGCATTCTTCCGATTGCATGGACAGGGGCGAGTTTTCTGAATCGCAGCTTACAAGCAATTCAACGCTTCAATACCGCAAGTGCCAGTGGCCGCCGTTTGCAGACGGCGGCCTGCAATGCCTCATGTAAGCACCGGCTGAGGCCAGTGGCCCAAGTGGCTCAGCGCAATCGTCATGCCACTCCGGTCCTCTTGGCCGTACACTCAGAACAGAAAACAGAACGTGCGGTGACAGCGGTGTTGTAAGCCGAAGAGAGAGAGAGAGAGAGAGAGAGAGAGAGAGAGAGAGAGGAGCTGACGAGACGATTAAGATGACATGGCTCCAGTGTAGTGGGCTGAGCAAAGACGATTCAGATAGACGGGACAAGTGACATGCTCACTTTCAGAGGCAGGTAATGAAGAACAGCCACTGAACACAAAGCAGCCTCTGATTAGGGTTTCCCATTTCCCACGCCATGAAGAGAACCAGCGGTGCGGCATACTTGGCAGAGCGGGACAAAGCTGCGGACCCAAAGGCGGCCTCCAAGCAGCTAAAGCCCAACTGGAAAGGAGTCGGCTTCGGCGACTTCCTGCGCGAGCAGGGTCCCAGGAAACCCCTCTTCGATCCTTTGCTTGAATCTGACTGTTCCGGCGGTCGTGTCTCGGCAAAAGTGGCTGCAGAAGATGCCGGCCCAAATTCTGGTCTCATCCCCAAGTACTCTTGGTGGCAATTTTGTGATGATGGGCCACCCAATGTGGTGGAGGAGAGTTCGGTGGATTTGTCAAAGCTCGCGAAAGTCCCCCTTGTAGCGTTGATAGCACAGGTAGCGAGCAAAGAAACGATCAACGATGCTTCCTCGAATCAGGGCTTCACTACCGCAAAGAGCCAGTCACCCTGGACAGCTAAAGTGACAGCAGGCAAGCAAGACTTGGTTCGGATTCGACGACCTGAGGGAATTCGATCAACCGGAGTATGGCTGGTAGCAACCTTCCAAAAAGATGGGGAGAATTGGAAGGTTCAAGCAGCCGACGAGCTCTATCCTGAGAATCGCTTAGAGGCAGTGGTCCGCCTGAGGTTCAAGGAGTTTATCCATGATCAGGCCGATAAAGAAGAGGAGGAAGATCCTATGGCAGCCACCCGCAGGATGTTGGAAGAAGCCATGAAGTGAACCCGAAGATACCTGCATAGGTCTTCAATCACGTACATAGTCGTGCTCCATACGGGATCCACATGGGTCACAGACCTAGACCGGATGGCAGTTCCTGTGTTCTATACACAGTTTGTTCAACTTGGTGTTGCCAGGAGACCTCTGACTGAAAACATGTCTCCCACGATGCGGGGTTAATGCAAAAGTGTGCGCGGCTTTTGCTGTTGCCCCGGCAGCTTGCGAATCAGCCGAAAAGTGATCACGCAGTCCAGTGTTGCTGTGCAAGGACGTTAGCTTGGGGCATCGCGGGTATGCCCCTGACGACTGAGCTGCCCAGTCCCAGTATGGGACATGAGCCAGCCTTCCGAAGTTTCACCGCGAGTTGCACTCAGGCTTCAAAGCAGGGCCCGTGTGACATCGTCCGTCGATAATGATGGCGATCAGAACCAGTACCCTCCGAACGCATTGCCACGGACGACAGGTGGAAGCAACTCATTCTGACAAATCGGCAACTTCATGGCACTGGTGTCCGCAAGGACTTGATCGTGGCACCCATGCGGGTCGCAACAGGCTGGGGACGCCAAAGCTTCGTCCCTTACTGGCAATCTCAATCTCCTCTTCATGAGAGAGTTTTGAAATTTATGTCTGGAGTTAGCCACAGCACTCAGTTGGCGCTGAGAAAAGGTGAGCCTTGAGCACTAAACGGACCCGATTTGGACGCTCTGTGAGTTGGGCTCTGCTGGGAAGACACGTATCCCCGCCCCAAAGCCCAGTCACCTGTCCGATCTAAAATTCTGGCGAGTCAGGGTTGGCATTCTGGATGGGAGCTCATGCAAGAACCCGCGGCTGGGCCTAATCCATGCGACTTCGAAGCCCCAACAGCTCATCAGGTAGATTTGCACGATGGGGAGACGTGCTTGTCTGAGTACACATCACCAAATCATGCCAAGTCGTCTGTTGCAGTTGTCATCACGCAGCACGTCTGTTTAGCATGAGCTTGACCGGTCAAGCGTTGTGCGACGCTGAGCAGTGTAACGCAGAAGCTGCACACAAGATTGGACTGGGTGCAAAAAGCCACGGCATGAACATCAGATGCGCAAGGACATGTAATTCGACATGAAGGTCAGCCAAGGCTTTTGATGGTTGACTGGAGAGACTTACCATCGTCCGGTATTCCCAAACGGTTGAGCGTTCACACCAGCAATAACCAGCATCTTCCGTGCTGCGTGTGGCGAGCATGGCTTTCACATTCCATGTGGCGAACTCTGATAGTTCTTTTGCTGCCTCCTGCTTTTGCAGCAGGAAGGGGGCTTTGGGCGAAGGTGTCCCCTTCTTGCGTGGAATTTTGGGACCAGCTGCGAAAGGCGGAGTTAGACATCCCCAGTTTGACAATTGAAGATGGAATCTCTGCAAGCAGCGCCCGACACGTTCAGAAGTTTTTGACCACTGTTCCGTTTGATGGTGCAGCCTTTTGCGTGGAAGCTGCTATTTCGGCAGCTACCTCGTCAGATGCAGTATTGATGTCTCACGTTGCGGAAAGCATTGCCAAGCTCCCTCATTGTTTCCGTGAGATGACGTTCAAGTCAGAGGCCACGCCTTGGGAAATGGTACCTCTTCGGGTTGTGCACATTTGCTTGGTGAGTCTTAGGGCCAGGGTTCGAGCGAGGTCTCGGTTTAGTTTCGTGCGGGAGGATCCTGTTGAAGGCAGTGCTTGAGCCCTTGTCAGGCTGAGACCCGGTGTTCCCAAAGATGGTACAAAGTCGCAATTCACGTTTTGAAAGCAGCTTGGACAGCAGCATGAGAACCGCGATTAACCGTCCAAGCAGGGACAGCTAAGCCGGCTAGGCCCATTGGCATTGGAAGCAGACTTCGTGTTATCCTCGTTCACGAGGTGAACGGCCTACAGGATGCTGCTGAGTCCATGTGGCGTCGCGCCAAAAGCATCAAGAGTAAAGACGGCAAAGCTTTGATTGGCTGGCCAAGTCCATCGCAATCGCCCACCGTTTGGGTTGCCCGCTTTTCTGTTCAATTGATAGCTTTCCTTTCGAATCGAACGTGAACTGTTTGTCTGCCATTTTAGTAGTTTCGTTGCAGGCAATATAAATATAGACTTGCCAGGTATGTTCCCGGAGCGGCCCCTTAATTACATTGCCTTACATGCTCTGTCGTATGTGAGTTCCGTATTCAGGTTCCGGGCTTGTCAACCCGACCATATTGGAACTGCTCTTCTTGGGCGTTCATACAAGCATTGGAGGCTCAGATGCATGTTGCTCGCTTGTGCTTGTCTGACTCCATGCAACTGATCTTCACCGACAGGCCGCAGCACCCGTGATTTTGAAGGAAATTGAGCGCAAAGACTCCGAGTTCTTGACGGCCTATCCGTACTTGCAGCCTCTGGACTCGTCTAAGGGGCGCGTAGGTTGGCGTGGCATCCATTCTTCAGGCTTCGGGCTCTTGCCAATCTGTCATGCATGGAGCCGAGGACTGCAGGGGTTTGGGAAGACTTGTTCCTGTACAGAGGCGCGGCGCATTTTGCACCGTGCAGTCCACGGCTTCGTTTCATAGGCTGTAAGATGCCCTTTCTTAGGTCATCAGTGGAACACCACGCTCTGCCAGTCAATGCCAAGCACTTGTCGCCTTCTGCTTCCGGAACTTCCGACACGCCCCGGTGTCCCGTACGCCACCGTCACCTGGTCTGGGAGGAAAAGATAGTTCGGAACTTTCTGCGGGAAGATAGAAAAACCACACCACAGAGCACCGTCACTGGCAAGAGAATGGAGCGAGGTTTACAATGAAGAAGTCGTGATCTTCCGATCCAAGCGTGGAGCTTCGGTGGGTGCGCACTGCGGATCCTCCAATGGTGTGATAAATCTGCACTTGACATTGAAAGGAGGCATTGACGGTTAGGAGTGCAGTTGTAGTTGCCGTCTCCGCATTGACTGCGTCGCGCATCAAGAGCTGTTCGTACTTAGATAGCTCAACTCCGAAGTGGTGCGGTCTGTCTCAGCGAGAGCTCGTACCCATCAGGCCGTGGAACATCCGTCTCTGTAGACGGCTTACAGGTTGACTTGCGCGATGGCGAAGCGATATGTTTTCAAGACAGCTACTTCCATTCTGTGAATCACGGCCTGGATGGGGAGGAGGAGCGCATCTCTCTTGTCATCCGAGTTATGCATCCAGACATGGATCTAAAGTTGCTCGGCTCCCGGACGGACTCCGCGCCTTGGCCTTGGCTGCGACACAGCGCGTTTCGTCGGGAAACCCTGACCCCAAAGCCGATGGGGTCGATGTCAGGTGCCAGATCTCCAAGCCTGGGACAAAAGCGCCAGCCTGCTGAGGGAGGTTGAACGCCTCAGAGCAGAGTATCGAAAGCTTGCAGCCGCTGCAGCTGCAGCCGGGGAGCAAGACTCTTCGACACTCGCCTTGCTACTGTACACAGTTTTGCTTTAACGCCAGGCCACTCCGGCATAGTGGGAACGTCGGAGACGACGCTCTTCAGTAGGGCTTTTCATGCTGTCAAGTACCCGTTGATTTGCCTCCACTTGAGCCCTGCAGCGAGGTGTTCCGTTTGAGGCATTGCGGCTTTTGCTGGTGTCGAAGGCAGAGCAGTGCTTGCGCAGGGTGTCCTGTACCTGGGTCTGTGGAGGCTCTGCCAAAGTACAAAGCGGCTTCGTTTCTGGACGCCACCGTGAGCGATGCTCGAAGTACTCACAAGTAGCTGGAAGTGTCAGTCACAGGGCACAGCAAGCTACGATGACCGGAACAGCAAGACTCGGGAGCATTGAATGGCCTGTGCACCAGCAGACAGTCTTCAATGCAAGTCCTGCGCAAAGCGTCTCCTTGGATCAGGCCAGATGCGCTCCTCCTGACTTGTTTGCGATGTTTGTGCTGCTACGGCGAATTAGGCTTGCAAGACAGACATGGAGCATCCCGAAGCTAGCAAATCCCCGCGTTTCAAAGCCCATGCATCATGGATCAGCATACAACTAAGACAACTAAGACATACTAAGACTAGGCTTCGGGCTGCGCCCCGACTCTAGCGATGTTGGCACGATGGGTCACCCACCGGAGCGATGGCTGATTTGAGAGTGCCGTGTTCAGAGGCCACGCTGGCGAGCATTGCAGTCATTGCAGCCAAGCCGCGACTGGTATGCGGTATGTAATTAGTTGAAGATATAGTTACAGTATTCAAGTCAGATCACAGGAGTCGGGGACTGACTGACATGTGAGGTGGAGAATCCGAGTGACTGGAACAACCTGGAACGAATTCGCAAAGCCTGCACTGTTTTCAACATCATCGACATTCGTTTGGTCCAAGACACGACCAAGCCTCAGGACCAAAAAATACATGGGCCATTGCCGCACGATTGTGTTGTGAAGACTTTTTGACGAGCACCGTGCTGGTGATGAAACTGTGAGGATCCCCGATGCCGAAAGTGTTTGAATCTTAACGATCGGCCTGAAATTGGTGGAGCCTGCCGTCTGCTTGCGAGCACGTCGAAATGCCTGGATGAGACTTGGTCCAACTGTCCTGCGGTGTGCCATTTCAGACCTTACCTGCGCCTGCGCTGCAGAGATCAGTCGTGACAAGCATTTCGGAGGAGTTGGCTGTGCACGGCTACATGTCCGTGGCAACAGCACTAGATGAATCCAGCGTGTGATCCCGAGTCCTCAGCAGGTTGCAGGTGAGATGCTGCAGTACAGACAGAACAGTCATTGAGCTGCAGCCAGGTGAACCTTTATGACTTCGACTTCGGGAAAAACAACAAGATTGCCTTGTGGTTTGGGCAGGACTCACCGCAGTTGCAGACAGTTGCACTGGGTTGTTCTTCAGGTCTGTCCCATACATCAAGATGCCCTCCTTCAGCGAATGCTTGGCTCCTATTCCAGGAGAAGCACGGCCTCACCGACGAAGCACTCTGTGCAGCCGCAACGCCGGGGCCCTTTCAATATCTGCACAAAGCGCATGCCAACCGATCTGCTTGGGTCCCAGTCTGCTCGACACATCGGTTTTGCTGAGATGTATTGAGGAAGATTTTCATTCCAATGTCTGGAATGGTGCCTGGCCTCGTTGTTGTCACTCTGGAATGGCTTGCAAATGATTTGTTCGCCACTTTGCCAGCTAGTCCGCCTGGAATGCGGAGGTGCAAAGCCTCAATGTGGCAGCATCTTCCTCTATCATCCTCGCAGAAGTATGTGGCTCGGTCTGGTAGGCACCTGTGTCAGCTTCAATCTATTCAGAGAATTGTTTGGCTTCGAGGTCGCAAGGCAGAGGTTCTTTGACTTCCTGCCAAGCTTGCCGAAGCAGCTCTGGCGGCAAAGCGGGCTTGGCTTCAGAGCCGGCAGTGTCTACTTTGACGCACCAGGTCAAGTAAAATGTCGGCTCATCCTCCTGAGGAGCCAGTGAGTGCCTCGACATATTCGTTATGTGGTAACAGCTATGACGCGGCACACACCAGCGACACCGAGGCGGTGAGGATCTGGCATCCGCTGCTTCCAGCGCTCGCATGGACAAATTTCTGTCCGTCGCCCGCCAGCGACAGCGAGGTTTGATCGTCGTTCTGGAAGATCCGGACAGGCAAGGTGATCTGCGAGTAGGTGTTCGGAAGCCTGCGCTTTCGGTGTTGGTTGTGGAAATCTGTGGCAGCAAGGCTGGATGCTGCAGCGATTCTTCGAGGGTGTGATGCCTTTGGAGCGTTTTGGCGTAATCTGAGACCGTGGCACCAAGTGAACAGCGACAGGGAACTGCCAGCGCTGAGGTTTCGGAGGTTCACTTTATTTTCGAGGCGACGAAGGCCTTCGATCCTCTTGCGAACCGGCAGGTGATGAAGTCCGAAGGATCCAATCTCTGGGTCTGCAGTCGGGTTTTCGACTCTGTGATGGACTGCCGCCAACATCTTGACCAACGAGGCTTCGCGAGAGTCGGCATTGCGCAGATGCAGGATGATTCGGGAGCGGCCTTCTTTAGTGCGCCATCATTTTGCGAAGAGAAGCTGGCGCTTTGGCTGAGCTGTAACAGCTCCTATGTTAATGCTGAACTTGTAAGCAGTTCCGTACATGTCCCGTCCACTGCCAAAGTCGCAGGGCTGGCCATTTCAAACTTGATGGCAGTAATGCTAGCTGAAGTTACTCGCTGTCGCAAGACCTCATACCCGCAAGGGTATTGGTCGCTTAGTAACCAAGAGCAACGAGCTTATGTTCACTGGTGCCTTGCAGTTCACACCAAGCGCCATCCCACACTGGAGCAGGCCTCGCAAGAGGCCTCAGCCAGTCCCGAGTACGAGCGCTTAGGTCGTTTGAGGGCCGAGCTCAAGCGGCAAGGATGGTAGCAGACAGGACACCATATGACATACCATGACACGCATCGTTTCTCAGACAAAAAAGGCGGATCCACGCCTGGCCGAGCCCGCCGGTCGGGCAACCAATCGGATCTTCGGGTGTTTGCTTCCCGTTCTACACCTGCGACCTTTTTGCCTCAAGCATCCTTGCGGACAAGTCTCATCGTTGCCATACACTGATGCAGCTCGAGCCGTATGTGAATCGGAAGACTCATCATTGCCTTGTGAACCTACATATTGGGTCGGGTCACTGCGCATGTTTAAGAAGCTGGTGGCCGCAGCTGGAGCCTTGGTCAGCTTGTTTCGCTTTGTCAGCGATGCTTGCTATGCTTGCCAGGCCGCGTGGCATTTGTCTTCTTCCCCCTCATTTCTCTTTCTCTCGCTATCTGCCCTTTCTCGCGCCTCTTCGGTGTAGTGTTCGAATACCCAGCCAAGTTCTGTCCACGCGCTGCGAGTGGTGGCATGATCGTATCGAAATTGTCTTCGTATTTTGTGTGCCTGCATGAGACTCATGCATGAGCTATGCTTGCGATGCCCCTGATTTGCTGTTGATGCCTAGAATCAGCGCATGGCTTGGACATGCTTTCAGCAAAGCAGTTGCGTGACAGTCGCCTTTTAACAGCTCAGGCAAGTAGAGTTTGGCCAAGGTAGGGTGCATCGTGCGGCTGAAAGGGCCTCCGTTGACTTGACACCGCTGCATCCCACCTGCACTGATTGGTAACGCCTTCATCGAGCAAGTCCAGTGACAAGTCAACAGTCTTCCGTCCCGAGTGGCCGGAGTCAATGACTCCAGGAATTCATGAGCTCTAAGCGGAAGGCAGAAGTTCTGTTGGAGGACGCCACAGCATCGAGCACAGTTTGTGTTCGGTGGGCATTCAGTGGAGACGTTCTGTCCGTGGTCTCTCTTTGGCCAGGGGCTTCAGTTGCTGAGCTTCTGGAATCCCTGCCTGTGGAGCATCATGAGGTGAAGCAGCTGCGAGTGATTTTTCGAGGTCGAAGTTTGGAAGCCACAGAACTTCTAGCTACGTTAGGGACGGACGATCCTGACAAGGAGGATGCTTGCGTATTTGTTGTGAGAAGGCCGCCGCGACTTGCGATCTTAAGCTCGGGTAAAGACTCCGTCTTCTGGGAGCCTGAAGCGAACAGAAAAGCAAAGTCCTTTTCTGTTCGTGAGGAGGCCCATTGTGTCACGTTTTCCGAGGATGCCTCGCTTCTTCTTGCAGGCTATTCCCAGGGTGTGGCACGGCTCTACAACGAGCATGGGCTTTGCAAGACTTTCAGCGCTCGTTGCGGAAGTGTCCTTGCCGTAGCTTTCTCATCATGTGGCAGTTTCTGTATCACCGGTAGTGAAAATGGAACAGCCCGGGTCTGGAGCACCGAGAGCGGCGTGTGCCTGAGGACGCTCTGCCGTCACAGTGGCCCTGTTCAAGCAGCCTCGCTGTCTCCCGACCTGAAAACAGCGATCACGGGAGGCTGCGATGAACTTGCCAGGCTCTGGTGTGCCAAGACTGGTGCATGCTTGCAAATGCTTCGCGGACACAGCGGCGTCGTCACCTGCGCCTCCTTCGCTGGAGCTGAGCGCGTGGTGACCGCCTCCTTTGACCGCTCAGTGAAAGTTTGGTCTTGTGAAAGCGGCACCTGTGACATGACGCTCTTGGGGCACAATGCTCCAATTCTTTCCATGGCAGTTTGTTTTGGTGCAGACTGTATTGTGACAGGCTGCTTTGATGGCCTTTGCAAAGTTTGGGTGCTGGCCACAGGTTCATGCTCGCTGACCCTTGAGGGGCATGGCGATGCGGTTCGATCCGTGGCGATTTGCCCCAGTGGGAAACATGCACTGTCTGGCGATGCGAGAGGATGTTGTAAACTCTGGTCGTTGCGGTCGGGTAGCTGCAAGCAAACCCATTTTCTACGTGGTGAACGTATCTTGGATGTCGCCCTACGCTGCCCCGATTGAAAAACAGGCTGCCTCGGCACGTCATGCTGATGATCTTTGCTGATGTGGGGATTGGGCTTCTGTCTGTCCCTGTATCGCTGCTATACCTTGTCCGTAGTTTTCTACAGGTCGCTTACTTGAAGATCGTTCACTCTGGGAAGCCTTCACCCTTTGCTGGAGGCGGGTATTCGACAGGCAGTTTCTTGCTGCTTTAGTTCCATGTCAGGGTCGAACCCAGTTCCAGCAATGTCATGGCCCAAGTTCTCCCTAATGTCTTCAACGTTACCCTTTGAGTTTCACTTCTTCTTGGCAGCCTGGTCCGGAGTGCGGGAGCTCAGAGATGCTCAGAGCTCAGGACAGACTACTACAGGCATGACGGTGTGCGAATTACGTCGGGGCCTCATAGGTTTCCCAGGCACAGAATCTGACCGGTGACTCCTTCGAAGGCATGATCCCTACGCCCCCGGCATGGCAGAAAAGTATGGCATGCCTGGCAAGACGGACAACGAGGGGTCCCTTCCAAGCAAGTTGCTCGATTAAGCCTCGCAGCAAAAAACCTTGGTGGACCTTTCAATCTCATGACAGGTTCGATCCCTATGCAGACACTGTCGGTCCAGGCAGGCCCTGGATGTGTGCTCGCTCACAGGCATTGCAGTTAAAGGAAGCAGGAGCACATCATAGCGACACTGTCACAAGCATCAAGCGTCAGCAGCGCAGGAAGAAACCTAATGAACATCATTTTACTTCGTTCGAACATCTCCACCCTACAGATAATGCATTTGGGGGCCACGCCACTGACTGGCGTTAAGGTCGTGGGGTCCCCGGTCACGTACCAAAACACGTGTTCGATTCAGGTCAGTCGACGATCCAAGGGGGCACACAACGGACTGGCGTTAAGGTCGTGGGGTCCCCGGTCACGTACCAAAACACGTGTTCGATTCAGGTCAGTCGACGATCCATGGGGGCACACAACGGACTGGCGTTAAGGTCCTAGATTCCCCGGGTTGGGTGCTCCAGAAGGTCTCACGCTAGTCTTTGGGGTTGGGCCAGGGAGTCCAGGGAGTTTCACGGCAGTCTCTGGGGTTGGGCACTCCAGGCAGTCTCTGGAGGTAGTCTCAGCAGGCGAGGAGCGGACGAGGAGCTGGCGGGAGTAATGCCTGACTTTAAAATCTAACAACCCTACACCAAGGGTGGGGAACAAGAATGAGAAGAAGACGACGATCAACGAGATGATTTACCAGAAAAATGTTGCTGCATTCTATAGTTCTGCTGTGTCAGGCATCTACGGCGGTATCGTCAAGCGGGATGAAGCTGGCAGTGTTGTCATTGGAAGGCATCCTCCCAGTCGCAAGGCACTGGTTGCCTTGCAGCCTCAGAGCTTGGAAGGCAGTACCAGAATCACAACCCGCGGCCTGGTCCAGTCTATGCCGGCGGAGGCTACACACCGATCAATGAGGCAGGGACCAAGGCGGCCAACGTTCAGGGGAGTTCGCTTGCGTGTTTCGCTCTTGCAGGCACTTAGAAAAGGACCTCCTGTGCTTAAACCGCTCGATCTTCAGAAAACCACTTGCACTGTCACGCTCTCTGTATTCCTTTTGTCAAGGCTGCTTGACAAGTATCCGGATTTGGCAAACGACATCTCGACTGGAGGCACCTGGTTTGAGTCATCACTGAAGCAAGTCATTGTTCGCATTGACAATGCACTGCTGTACGCACTCCAACGTCCAGGTGCGACGCCATTGCACATGTGCGGCATGGGCCATTTTCCCAGTTCCAATTTCACGCAACTGGTGGCCTCGTTCACGCAGATGCACATATGATGAGAATTCTGAGTGCAGGCCGGGACAATCAGCATGCCACGGAGTACCTGATCAGGCCTCCCGGACTGTGCGAAGTCTTGTAGGCTCCGTTCATGCTGAGAGCGCAAGGCGTGGTGCCAAGGCCGGACCATCCCACGAGCGACAAAAAGAGCTTGAAAGATGCTTGGGTTCTTGCCAGATAGAAGCTCTGGACACCTACGGAATGACGCCGCTGCACCGCATGGCCTCCAACAACCTTCCAGTGGGGGCCAGGAGCCTACCTAGCGGCCTAAAGGCGGCCTGCAGGATCCTGCAGGAATGTGTCAAAGTAAGGCCAAGGCCCTGCTGGAGGCAGGAGCCGATCCACAGAACACGGGCCAGGCCAGGCCGGGAATAGGCCGAAACTCTCTCCGCTCTCCGCTCTCTTTCGGCTTGCGGGCCTCGGCTGAGGTGCGGGCCAGCCCAATGGAGATTGCGCAGGCCAGAGCCCCAGAGTCCCCAGATTGACTTGCCTTCAAGTAGTGCATAACAGTGCATGCGCAGGATTCGCGGGCGAAGGAGGCCCACGACCGAGTTTCGTTTGCGGCACTAGCTTGCTCCGGCTCGCAGCTGCTTCAGATGAGGTCATGTCGGTTTTGGCAGAGTGCTCCGGCAGATCAGCTGTTCCAGAAGGGTAAAGCGTTTCGGCCCATGAGCGACGTTAAGTTTTTCAAGAGTGAGGACCACTCGTCGTCGAGTTTTCACATCGTGCTGCGCTTGATGGCTTCGATGGGAGGTATCTTGGCAAACCACGTCCCGTCCCGTCACAGCTTCGCCGGAGCCCTTAGCAATGCACATCCTAGCAGCACCGGCACCTCCTGGCGAGTGTGGGCAAGACTTCTGCAGAGGTGTGTCGAGCTCTGGCTCACAAAGTGTGAACGTGGTTTACACGCAGAGGGATGCCAAGGCCACCCTCGCGTTCTGCCTGATAAGGTGGAGACCATGAGTTGAATCGACCGGCCCAATGCCAGACCGCAGGGGTTTGGCATCTAAACATTGAAGTCGCGCACTGGCCTTTCAGTGGGAGCTCACGCACTGGGGATGTTTTTCTGGTTGGTTGGGCAACAGCTGGTTTTCCAATCAGGTATCTGAATGCGCTTCAAGCACGCTGCCTTTGCCCCGTGAAGAAATCATTGATCGTTCACCGTCTGTTGCCAACGTGTGGAACGTCAGTTGCTGCGTGATGCTCGATTTGGCGGCTTTGCTACTCACTCCATATATACCGCTTCTTGATTGGCCGCTTCTTTTTTGTTTTTGCCGCTCCGAAAAACCTTTATAAGCAGCGTCAGTCCCACTCCGACCAGTGAAAGCGGGGGGAACAGAACGATCTTGAAGTGCTTGGCGACATGAAAGCCTTGCTGATGCAAATTTATCTGACAGTGTTAAAGTCGGGGCAGTACGCACAGGTTCGCGAAGAGGACTCATGCTTCCAATGCAGCAGATTGCAGCGGTTTCGTCGCACGTTTTAGGGAGATCAGGGAGTCGTGTTTGCATCTTTAGTTCTGTTCGCAGTGT